AGGGAACACAAGCAGGGGGACTGGGAGAGGAAGAAGCAGGCTTCCTGCCGAGCAGGGAGCCCGATGTGGGGCTCGATCCCAGGACCCTGGGACCATGACCAGAGCCAAAGGCAGCCGCTTAACGACTGAGCCACCCAGGCGCCCCTGAAATCAACTTCTTGCTTTACAGCATTCAGCTTCTCTAAAAGGCTCACATCCTCCAAGATTTAGCATAGAGATGGTAGGAGAAAGGTAAGACAGGCTTTGCATTTTATTATGCCTATGAAGTGTTTTAGCACAGTGAGGTATAAGCAGAAGATCTCCCACCATAATGATCATACCATCATTTGTCAGGCCCTTTCCATGTATCAGAGCCTTAAACCTGAACAACTTAACAAAGGTAATTATTCCTTAAATGGAGAAATTAAGATTCAGAGAGGTTAAGTAACTTGCCCAAGATCATTAAGCCAGTAAGTGACAGAGATATAATTCAAAATCACATGTCTGGCCACATGCTCATGTGCTTCCCACCATACCATGTTGATCAAATATTCATGGTCATCTATTGCTATTTGCAATTTGAATTTGGTTGTGGAGGAGGGCATGGAAGTTATAAACATAGGATGGTATCACAGAATTTCTCATCACTTCTGTGACTCACAGCAACTTATCCAAGTCACCTTGGATCCTCTATTAGCTGGGTGTACATTAAATCAGTTTTCAGCTGTAGGAGGTCTTGAGGGCTCCAGTAGAGGCAAGTGCTCTGTCCCTGAGGAGGGAGATCTTCACCCAGGCCCTCTGTACTGAAGGATTTGTTACTCAGTCTGGCCATTACAGAGTGAAATGCTTAAAGTGTTGCCCTTTTCGCCATTCTGATAGGATTTTCTTGGGGAGAGGTTGCCCAAGCCTTAAGTAAATTTCCTTCTCTATCATCTTCTGGCTGCAGAAAAGAGAAAACAAATTAATGATAACATGTATCTTCTCTGGACCATGAGGATACTATACCCCTCTTCCCAGGTAACATGGCAGAGTGGAGCATGTCACCGTGAAGTGACATCCTCCCCTCTGAACAAACTTTAGGGCCCCTGTGATTTCACTCTGGGCTCTTCTAACTCAGGTCCACCTGGTTTCTTCAGAGGATACCTACTCATTGTTGGATGTTTCCCCCATTTGTTAAATAGAAAATAAAATAAGTAAACAGATAAGATCATTTAAATTTGTGATAAGTGCCATCGATACAAGAAATAAGGTGATTAGATAGAGAATAACAGAGGATTCAGAAGGAGCTCCTTTAGATAGGCTGCTCAGGAAAAGCCTTCCCAAAGAGGTGATATTAGAGCAGAGACATGAAGGCTGAGAGGGAGTCCGTAAAAGAGCATTCCAGGCAGAAGGAACAGAAGTGCAAAGTCCCTGCGATAAACAGAAGACTGGGCCATTCAGGGAAGAGTGACTGCAGCCCAGTGAACAAAGAGGGGCTGGTCAATATGAACTTAAAAAGGTAGACAAAGACCAGATCATAAAGGCTTCTGTAGGCCATGATTAGGAGCTTGAATTTTACTTTTATGAAATAGGAATAAAATAGAGGATTTAAGCAGTGATATGACTGGATTTAAATGTTTAAAATTCATTCTGGTGGGGCGCCTGGGTGGCTCAGTTGGTTAAGCGACTGCCTTCGGCTCAGGTCATGATCCTGGAGT